CCTTCTTTTCTAGCCAAGAAATAGAGCCCCCTGGTGAAGGAAGGACAAGGACCTGTTGGAGAGGGGTCAGAGGAGGCCATGGAGATGCTGGGAGGGCTGGAGGACAGGCTGAGAGAGTTGGGGGGGTTCAGCCTGGAGAAGATAAGGCTCCAGGTAGACCTTGGAGCCCCTTCCAGTCCCTCAAGGGGCTCCAGGAAAACTGGGGAGGGACTCTGGATCAGGGAGGGGAGCCATGGGAGGAGGGGGAAGGGTTGGACACTGAAAGAGGGGAGATGGAGATGGAGATGGAGATGGAGATGCGGGGAAGAACTTCTTTGTTGTGAGGGTGGTGAGAGCCTGGCCCAGGTTGCCCCAAGAAGCTGTGGCTGCCCCATCCCTGGAGGGGTTCAAGGGCAGGTTGGAGGGGGCTTGGAGCAACCTGGTCCCTGCCCAGGGCAGGGAGTGGGACTGGATGATCTTGAAGGTCCCTTCCAACCCAATCCATTCTGTGATCCTACGAAGGTTTCACCCAGGCTTTGCCTCTGTCCCCCCCACAGAACCACGTCCTGACCCTGATGTCCATGGCGGCTCGCATCTACAAGCACCCCAGCCTGAAGAACTCCATCAACCTGGTGGTGGTGAAGGTGCTGGTGGTGGACGAGGCGGCGGTGGGGCCGGAGGTGTCTGACAACGGTGGCCTCACCCTGCGCAACTTCTGCAGCTGGCAGCAAAGGTTCAACCCCCCCAGCGACCGCCACCCGGAGCACTACGACACTGCCATCCTGCTGACGAGACAGGTCTGAAGGGTCCCTTGGGGATGCTCTGGTTGGGGGAGAAGAAAGGGGTGGAGGTGTCCTTGGAGGGAGAGGAGGGATCCCCACCACCACGCAGAGCTTGCAGCAAAGCAATGGGGTGGTGGTGGTGGTTATGGTTGGGGTGTAGAGCATCAGGTGCTCTGCTGGGGGATGTTCATAGAATCATAGAATTGCCCAGGCCAGAAGGGACCTCCAAAGGTCATCTAGTCCCACCCCCCCGCAGTCAGCAGGGACACCCCCAACTAGACCAGGTTGCCCAGGGCCTCCTCGAGCCTCTCCTTGAATATCGCCAGGGAAGGGGCCTCAACCACCTCCCTGGGCAACCTGTTCCAGTGCTCCACCACCCTCACATGTTGGGGCTACCAAAAGTGTGACCCTGTCCTACCCCTCCTCAGGACTTCTGTGGCCACCAAAGCTGTGACACGCTGGGGGTGGCGGACATCGGCACCATGTGCGACCGCAACAAGAGCTGCTCGGTGATCGAGGACGAGGGCCTGCAGGCAGCCTACACCCTGGCTCATGAACTGGGTAACTCATCCTTCTTCCTGAGGGTAGGGGGGATATGGGGATGGTGGGGTGGTCCTGCTTTTTTTTTTCAGCCCAGAGTGGCCAGCCCCATTGCTGGGAAGGGATGCAGCGGTGCCCAGCACCGGCATCTCCCAGCTGGGTCCCACTGGGGAGCTTCTGGAAGCTGGTTTGAACCAGCAAAAGTGTGTGGAGGTGCCTGGTGGGGTGTAAATCAATGTGTTTCACGGACGTGGTGGGCTAAGGCTTGGGACCCAGAGCTTCTCCACCTTGCTTTGCTGCTCCTCGAGATGCTCTGGCTAATTTGGGCTGCTTTGCCCTGCCTGCAGCTCTCCCAAAGCACCAGAGAAACCACTATTTTATTTTATTTTATTTTATTTTGGTCACTTCTGATTTATGGAAGCAAACCAGCTTTTGAAGCAAGAGGAGCTGCTTGGAGAAGGTCCCGGCTGCCCCGGCACCACCTGCAGCAGAGAAGGGACTGGGAGGCTGCATCTCACCCATGTTCTCTGCTCCCCCAGGCCATGTCCTCAGCATGCCCCACGACGACTCCAAGACCTGCGAGAGGCTCTTCGGGCCCCTGGGCAAGCACCACATGATGGCCCCTCTTTTCATCCACTTGAACAAGAGCCAGCCCTGGTCCCCTTGCAGCGCCATGTACCTCACCGAATTCCTGGACGGAGGGCACGGTAAGGAGCCTCATCGTTCAAAAATGGGTTTTTCCTTAATTTCTCCGGCTCTTGAGGGGTTGTGTGGGATGAAGGGGCTTCAAATCAGTGCAGGAAGGATGTGGACCTGTTGGAGAGGGGTGCGCGATCAGAGGAGGCCACGGAGATGCTGGGAGGGCTGGAGGACAGGCTGAGAGAGTTGGGGGGGTTCAGCCTGGAGAAGAGAACGTTCCATGGAGACCTTCCAGTCCCTCAGGGGGCTCCAGGAAAGCTGGGGAGGGACTCTGGATGAGGGAGGGGAGCCATAGGATGAAGGGGAAGGGTTGGACACTGAAAGAGGGGAGATGGAGATGAGATGTGGGGAAGAACTTCTTTGCTGAGAACTCACAACTCACTTTGTGGTGAGAGCCTGGCCCAGGTTGCCCTGAGAAGCTGTGGCTGCCCCATCCCTAGAGGGATTCAATGCCAAGTTGGAGGGGGCTTGGAGCAACCTGGGCTGGTGGGAGGTGTCCAGGGGTGGAACTGCATGGTCTTTAAGGTCCCTTCCAACCCAAACCATTCTATGATTGTAAGATGCTATGAAAATGGACCACAGAGAGAGGTTTGGGGTGCCCTGCTGGGTGCAACCCATGGTGTCGAGCCTTGATGGGTCTCCAACCTTGATGTATCTCCATCCTATCTCCCATCCTTGCCCAGGTGACTGCTTGCTCGATGCCCCAGCCGAGCCCCTCTCCCTGCCCGCCGAGCTGCCCGGCCGGGGAGCCCTCTACAGCCTGGACCAGCAATGCCAGCAGATCTTCGGCAAGGACTTCCAGCACTGCCCCAACACCACCGAGGAGGACATCTGCTCCCAGCTTTGGTGCCGGACGGGCAAGGGGGAGCCCCTCTGCCACACCAAGAACGGCAGCTTGCCCTGGGCTGACGGCACCCCTTGCAAAACTGGGGGGCTCTGCTGGGATGGCCGCTGCCTGCCACAGGATGACCTGAAGCCCCAGGTAAGGAAGGTGGAGGAGAATTGGGGAGACCCGTTGGAATTCCCAAACTTCTGACCCCTGGAATAGCTTTGGATTTGCCTGGTTTTGGGGCTTTTTTTTTTTTTTCTGGATATTTCTCCTTCGAGAAGGAGCACCTTTTGTAAATCTGAAGGCCCTGAAGCCCCAGGGAAGGAAGGTGGAGGAGAATTGGGGAGACCCGTTGGAATTCCCAAACCTCTGAGCCCTGGACTAGCTTTGGATTTGCCTGTTTTTGTATTATCATTTTTTTCCTGGATATTTCTCCTTCAAGAAGGAGCACCTTTTGTAAATCTGAAGGCCCTGAAGCCCCAGGGAAGGAAGGTGGAGGAGAATTGGGGAGACCCTTTGGAATACCCAAACCTCTGACCTTTGGACTAGCTTTGGATTTGCCTGGTTTTGGTGCTTTTTTTTTTTTTATCCTGGATATTTCTCCTTCGAGAAGGAGCACCTTTTGTAAATCTGAAGGCAAATGATGCCGTGCCTTCCTGGGATGCTCAGGCTGGTCTGCAGCAGGACAAGCAGCTGCAGTTCTGCAATTAAAACCCTCTCTTTTTTTTTTTGTTGGGGGAACCAGTGGTGATCTCTGACCCCACCAGCAAAGTGCCTTAAGCCCAAGCTTAACTTTAAGCACATGAGCAGGACGGGTGGAAGTCAGCAAGAACTCCATGTGAAGTATGTGCTTAAGTGCTTTGCTGGACCAGGGCCCCGGCTGGAGATGCAGGGATGGGAGATGGAGGGGGAGGTTTTGGGGGATGCTCCAGACTTTTGGTAGCCCTGGGAGCCAGCAGCTGGGGATGGCTGAGCTTTGGGGATGGATCTAGCAGCTTCTGGTGGCTTCTTGCAGCCGGCGGTGGATGGTGGATGGGGTCCCTGGAGCCCCTGGGGCTCCTGCTCCAGGACCTGCGGCGGCGGCGTGCAGTTCTCCTACCGCCACTGCGACAGCCCCAAGCCCCAGCACGGTGGCCGGTACTGCGAGGGCCAGCGAGCCAAGTACCAGTCCTGCCACACCGAGGAGTGCCCACCAGATGGTAAGGATGACCTTCTCAAACACACAGTGCTCCCAGTTTCTCCAGGACCCACCACTGCTCCGCTCTCCCATGGCTCTTGATCCAGGAATGGAGCCATGGGAGGAGGGGGAAGGGTTGGACACTGAAAGAGGGGAGATGATGGAGATGGAGATGGAGATGGAGATGGAGATGGAGATGAGATGTGGGGAAGAACTTCTTTGCTGTGAGGGTGGGGAGAGCCTGGCCCAGGTTGCCCCATCCCTGGAGGGGTTCAAGGGCAGGTTGGAGGGGGCTTGGAGCAACCTGGTCTAGAGTGAGGTGTCCCTGCCCAGGGCAGGGGGTTAGAACTGGATGGTCTTCAAGGTCCCTTCCAACCCAAACCATTCTATGATTTTCCGGGGGCAATAGCTTTCTGCTGGGGGTTGTGATCCCCTCTGGCTGGGTGGGAGGTGTGAGCCATCCCTCCTCTGCTCGCTCCTCCTGCTGTCCTTGCCTCACTCCTACATCTCCCTGATGACCTTCAAGGTCCCTTCCAACCCAAACCATTCTGTGACTATGATTCTGTGGTTGAGGACACTAAACACACGCTGCCCCTGTTTCTCCAGGACCCACCACTGCTCCATTCTCCCTTGACTCTTGGTCAGGGAGGGGAGCCCTAGGAGGAGGGGGAAGGGTTTGACCCTGAAAGAGGGGAGATGGAGCTGAGATGTGGGGAAGAACTTCTTTGCTGGGAGGGTGGGGAGAGCCTGGAATAGAAGCTGTGGCTGCCCCATCCCTGGAGGGGTTGAAGGCCAGGTTGGAGGGGGCTTGGAGCAACCTGGTGTGGTGGGAGGTGTCCCTGCCCGGGGTAGGGAGTTGGAACGAGGTGGTCCTCAAGGTCTCTTCCAACCCAAACCATTCAGTGATTCTATCATTCTATGACTTTGTGGTTGAGGCCGGTGGTTCCTGCCATCTTCCCCCAGTTTTCAGCCCACATTTCACCTTTCCTTCCAGGGAAAAGCTTTCGAGAGCAGCAGTGTGAGAAGTACAACAGCTACAACTTCACGGACGCGGAAGGGAATCACCTGGAGTGGGTTCCCAAGTACGCCGGAGTGTCACCCCGAGACCGGTGCAAGCTCTTCTGCCGAGCCAGGGGGAGGAGCGAATTTAAAGTTTTTGAAGCCAAAGTAAGATGACGATCACCCCTTTTTTTATTATATTTTTTTTACCCCATTTCACATCAAACGCCCTAATTGCTCCCCGGCGTTTCCTTAGGTGATCGACGGGACGCTGTGCGGGCCGGAGACCCTCTCCATCTGTGTCCACGGGCAGTGCATCAAGGCTGGTTGTGACCATGTCGTGGGGTCCTCCAAGAAGCTGGACAAGTGTGGGGTGTGCGGTGGCAACGGCTCCACTTGCAGAAAAATCTCTGGCTCCCTCAACCGATCCAAGTAAGGGGGGGGAGATGGGGGTCTGCAGAGATGGGCTGGGGGGAGAAAAAAAACCAGCTTCCCCTCTCATTCTCCTTTTTTTTTTAATTAGGCTGGGGATATTAGGACCTGGCTAGATGGTCGCATCCAGAGGGTGGTACTCAATGGCTCAAAGTCCAGATGGACACCAGTCACAAGTGGTGTTCCTCAAGGGTCCGTGCTGGGGCCAATACTGTTTAACATTTTTATCAATGATATAGACAGGGGGATTAAAGGCACCATCAGCAAGTTTGCGGACGACACCAAGCTGTGTGGTGGTGTCCATACACCAGAGGGATGGGATGTCATCCAAAAGGACCTGGACAGGCTGGAGAGGTGGGCCCAGGTGAACCTCATGAGGTTCAACAAGAGCAAATGCAAGGTTCTGCACCTGGGCTGGAACAATCCTCACCATCAGTACAGACCAGGGGGGGAGGTATTAGAAAGCAGCCCTGAGGAAAGGGACTTGGGGGG